CAGGGATAAAAGGGGGAGTAAAAAAAAAAAAAGTGCTCAGTCATTACTGAATAATGTAGGGCAGGCTATCGGGGGCTAGCGAGAGCGACAAAAGCTCCCAGCCTTTTCTTTTTTCGTCATTAACAGATGGAGCCATGCATGAAAGCAGGGACGTAGGCTCCAAACCCACAGCTCGAGCAATCAAAGCGTGCGGCAGACAGGAGCGCGCCAGCCTCCGCCGCATCCAGCCGGCCCGAAGGGATGAGAAAAGCTCTCGGAGCCCGCGGGATGCGGATGAAGAGGCGAAGGCAATACCACCCCCTGCCCCCCCAACCTGTGCTGCCCCCTGCCAACACAGCCAGCTCCGCTTGGATATGAGCACGGGCAGCCCTGGGTGGGAATTATCCCTGCCGGAAGGATGGGAATTAACCTTTCCGCTCGCCTTTCCTTCCCACCCGCCATCCCTCTCCTGCTTCTCAGCCGGCTGCACTGGCAGATCCCCAAGACACACCACTCACACACCCCCCAAAAAAGGGGCTGAAGCCCCCTCCCCATCAGCTAAGAATCCCTCCTTCGTTTACAGAGACCTTTGCCGGCTGCTTTTCCCTCCCCTGAGAGGTTTTGCTCTCCGCAAGAGCATCCCCAGTGCCACCGGAGCAATCCGGCAGCGAGAGCTGGCGTTTGGTCAGGGCTGGCAGATGTCCCCTGCACAACCTCTCTTTTCTTGCTGGGTTTTGGTTCTCTGCATTGTTTTTCCTCACCAAACCTGCGGGTTTGTCCCAGAAGACCCTGCTGGGACACTGGAGACTTTTCCAGACCCTGGGGCATCGCAGCCTGTGCATGTTCCTGCCCGGTACGGGGCTGTTTGCACTCACACCAACGCCATCGTCTTGCTTCCCCTCTCCCTGCCACCTTCTCCCTGCTGTTCCCATCCGCCAGGGTTGCAGCCTGCCCAGCCAGGCCCAGCTTTCCTCCAGCCTTCCCCTCCCCTCTGTTGGTCATGATGGATAGCAAAGATTGAGGGTGACATGGGGGGCAATCCCCGCCTTGCACCTTTGTGTGCATGATCATCAAGTCCTGTCCATCCCGGAAAAGCGGGATGTAGGGAAGAAAAAAAAAAAGCTGGAAGCTACAACCACAGTTGAGCGTGGTGACCTTCTCCAGGCCAGCTCCAAGGCCGGGGGGTCCTGTCCAGATCAGCAGGGATGGCATCACCCCCGGTCCCACCAGCACAAGCCGTGTAAATGTCCAGGGCTGAAGCAGCCATGGAGACCCCTCTCAGTACTGAAGCAGCCTTCAGTCTGGCAGAGGCCAAGGCAGGGGCCACCGCGGCCGCTCTGGTACCTTCAGGAAGGTCTGGCAGCACGGAGAAGGTGTTCACCTTTACAAGGCCATGGCAGAGAGCTTAACACCCCAAGGACGTGGGGAAGGGAGAGGGCTGCTATTTACAGAGAAGCATGAGGAGCGTGGCAAAGGGCCACCTTCTCCCCTCCAGCCTAGTTTTCTTCCAGCCGGGATGGGGTCTCCCAGCAAGGTGGGATCTGGGGTCTTTGCAGCGTGCAGTAGCAGTTAGGAGCATCTTCGCCAGGCACCGGGTTTTGGATCAGCCAAAGGAAGAGTTTTGGTCTGGGTTTTAACCCTGATGGAACAAGATGTGCTCCTCAAGTGATGGGTCATGTCTTGAGGACCAGAGGACCTACCGCCATCCCTGCTTCCCTGTGGCATCCCGATGGCCCAGGAGAGGCTGGCTTAGGCTTACAGAGAGCTACCTGCCCGACCTGGCACGCGTGCATGCACCCCCGCGCGCTGGCTGAGCGGGGCTAAGAGGATTACAGCCCTGTTATGTGGTGTTAATGTGCTGGCCGTGGCGAAGCAGCCTCACGTGCGGTGGGGAAGGGGAGCTCCAAGCTCCTTCCCATGTTGTCCCCTCCTCCTGGGAGGCTGCGCGCAGGAGCAGAGCCAAGGGATGACCCCACCGCCCATGAGTCCTGTCCTTGCTCTATCTCTGAAGCAGCAGAAAGTCATTAAGAGCAACCAAGCTTAATTTCGCAGTTACAAACTCAATGGGGGCTCTGATAGGGGAGATGCAAAGTCAGCTGGAGGCTTTTGCAGTAGACCCCGCTGTGGATTTGGGGCTGTGGTCCCAGCACTGCCTGTGGAGGTGAGGGCTGGGCATGTCCTTATTTAACCTCTCATGGTGACACCGAGCTGAGTTTTCTCTTTTCTCCCTCCTTTCCTCCCTGCCAAGTGCAGCAGGAGCTGCCAGCCCGCACCAATGGCTCGGCACCCACCACCCCAGCGCTTGCCCGCGACAGCCTCCACACCAAGATGGAGCAGCTGGAGGAGCAGCTCCTGTCCAAGATCCTGACCCTGCAGAAAGAGCGCCAGGCCGCCAGCACTGACCGCAGCCAGCAGCAGCACAACATCGAGAAGGAGCTGAACTCCCTCCAGAACCGGGTGACAGAGCTGGAGCATGGTGAGTCCTGCCTGTTGGGGATGGAGGTGGCATGGGGCGGGGGGTCCTGGGACAAGCCACCCACATCCCAACGATGGGTTCTGACCCTCCTCTCTCCTCCCCATCCTTGACACATAGGACCGCCAGGCTACAGCCCTCCCGATGCCTTCAAGGTGACCATCCCAGTGCAGAACAACTACATGTACGCCCGCATGAAGAAGAGCCTGCCGGAGCTCTATGCCTTCACCATCTGCATGTGGCTGAAGTCCAAGGCCCTGGCGGGACTCGGCACCCCTTTCTCCTACTCCGTCCCAAGCCAAGCCAACGAGATCGTGCTACTGGAATGGGGCACCAACCCCCTGGAACTGCTCATCAATGACAAGGTCAGTCCAGCTGGAGGGGAATGGGAGGGAAGCCCCTGCCCTCATCTCCCTTGCTTCAACACTCCTGGGAAATGATGCTCCTAGGGGTATGGGGTTGGGGGAGCTGGGGGGAAGGGGTCCAGGGTGGAGGGTGGAGGCAGTAGGATGAGGAGGATGGGGAGGACGGCTCAGCAGGGTGGGTTTTGAGAGGGAGAAGCAGCGCATCCAGATGTCTGTAGAATCTGGGGTGCCATTGCCACCACTTGCTCTGCGAGGGGCTGGGGGGACGCCAGGGTCCTCTGGCAGTCCCACCGAGTGCTGGGCTCTTGCTCTTCTCGTGAAGGTCGCCCAGCTGCCGCTGAGCCTGAAGGACAAGGCCTGGCACCACGTCTGCGTGGCATGGACCACCCGGGATGGCAAGTGGTCGGCGTACCAGGACGGTGAGCAGCGGGGCGCCGGTGAGAACCTGGCCTCCTGGCATGCCATCAAGCCCCAGGGCGTCATCATCCTGGGCCAGGAGCAGGTAGGTGACAACGCACCACCGAGGGCTGGTGGTTCGCATCCCTCCAGCAGGAGGCTGGCCAGGGGAGCAGCCCCCAAACGGGGCAAGGGTGGGGGGGAGTGGAGGCAGAGTGCATTAACAGTGTGGGCAAGGGGCTCTCCTGCCCGCTCATCTGACCTCTGGGCAGGCCATGTGTGTTCATCATCTCCTCCTCTTCCCTCTCCCCATCCCTGTGTCCCCCGTTTGCTCCCTACCTTGGCTGCTTGCATCTCCCCCATGCATCCATCCATTCCCCTCCTTGCCTTCGGGCATCTCGCCACTCTGCTTCTCCCCCTCTCCACCCTGTTTGCCTGGTGGACATGCACCCCCTCTCCTGTCCCATCCCCATCCCTGTCCTATCATCTCTCCCGCTCTTTCCCAGGACACACTGGGCGGCCGCTTTGACGCCACACAGGCCTTCGTGGGAGAGCTGGCGCAGTTCGGCGTGTGGGACCACATGCTGGCGCCAGCAGAGATCCTGGGCTTGGCCAACTGCACCTCCCACCTCCAAGGAAACGTGATCCAGTGGGATGACCAGGCGGTGGAGGTCTTTGGGGGTGCCAGCAAGGGGGGCTTCACTGCCTGCGAGGAAGGGAGGAAGGCGTGAGTGGCCCCTCGCCCCCTCCCCAGTGCCAAGGAACCCGGCGACAGCCCCGAAGGAGACAGCGGGGAGCCCCTTTCTCCCTTCCCAGACCGCCAAGCCTTGCCGCCGCACTGGGGCAATGCTCAAGCCCCCCATGCCAGCATCCTGGGATGGAGCGGGGAAACCCCAGCAGCCTCCTTCTTGCCCTCATGCCAGTGGCGTGGCTTGTCCCCCCTTCCGGCACTCCTGGGTCTCGCCTTGCCCCGCTTCTGTTTCGGGAGGACCTCGCTGTACCTACAGGCATCTCCGGTACAGCGAGGGTCCCCACCATGGCGGTCCCAACAGGGTGTGGGAAGGAGACCTTCATCCACCCCAAGCACGGTCCAGCCTTGCTGGGATGCCAGTGTGTGGGCATCCCCCGAGCACATCCCCTTTCTGTATTTATTTCTAGTGCACCACTATTTGGTTTTGTGAGCCCATACTCCAAATGACTGCAAGCATCTCCTCTGCTGGCCCCATCCCTCTTCTCCTGCCGCCCTGGTTTTGCAAGCACAGACCCAGGGAGGCTGAGGGAGGATGGCGGAGGGGCGGCAGGGCGGCGCTCCCCTCCTGCACCCCTTCCCCTGCCTCTGCTGCCTGTTTGGGCAGGGCTGCCCGAGGGGAGTCAGGCTTTTGAGGCAGAGGGAAGCCGAGTGGGACCTCCCCCCAGCTGGGGAGACAGTTGGCCACCGAGGGAAGAGGGGGACAGGGGCAAAGCATGTCCCCCAGCCCTGGCCGAGGGGGAGGGAGCGCAGCACCGCCATTGAAGGGAGTGAAAGCAAGAAAAAAAAACAAGGAGGCGGAGGATGGTGGTGGCCAGATGAGCCCTGCTGTCCATCCCCTGGCCTTTTGGGTGCTGGATTGGGTTGCTGCCCTCGCCTCCGCCTGGGACCCCTGCTCTGAGCTGCTCCTGGCCAGGGACGGGGCCGCCGCCGGCCTTGGAACTGCAGGGGTGATGGGGTGGGCAGGTATTTTCCCCGTGGAGTGCCTGAGAATACGCTGTTTCCATGCCAGTGTGGTCACCACTGTCTCGATACGTGAGTGTGTGCGTGTGTGCGTGTGTGTGTGGGGTGGGGGGTGTGTGGTGGGGGGGT